TGTCTTTTTCTCCATGTATCCATTGAGCTTTTATCCAACTTACTATGTAGCCTAAGATGGCCTTGAACTCCTAATACTCCTGTTCTTACCTCCCAAGTGTTGAGATTTTAGAAGTGAGCTACAACCAGCATTACAGAGCACTTGGATCAGACCCAGAGCCTCATGAATGTTAAGCAAGCATTCTACCAACAAAACCATATGTCTAGCTCCAATTAAAGCAATTCTAAATCTCCCTTCATATTCACTTTATAGACAATATTTCATAGGCATTGTCATAGTTACTTTGCTATTGCTATGAAGAGACACCATGATCAAGGCAACCTATAAAAGAAAGAGTTTATTACAGACTTGCTAATAGTTTCAGAGGGTTAGTCCATGACCATCGTGGCAGGAAACATGCAGCAGGCAGGCAGGCATGGTGCTGGAACAGTAGCTGAATGGCATGGGCTTTTGAAACCTCAAAGTCTACCCTCAGTGATACACTTCCTCCAACAAGACCAAACTTTCTAATTCTTTCCAAACAGTTCCAACATCTACTAGCCAAGTATTCAAACATATGAGATGGGGGCCATTCTCGTTCAAACCACCACATTCCTATATCATAGTCCATCACAGAAAGAAGTCAGGTCAGGAACTCAAGAAGGGCAGGAACTGGGAGGCATGGAAAGTGCAAGTCACAGAGGAACACTGTTTTCTGGCTAATTCCCCCTGGCTTGCTAAGTCTGCTTTCCTGTAACACCCAGAACCACCAACCCAGATGTAACACCACCCAAAATGGTCTGGGCTCTCCCACATCAATCACTGATTAAGAAAATGCACTACAGACCTGCCCACAAGCCAACCTGGTAGGGGTATTTTCTCAATTGAAGTTTCCTCTTCAAAAATGACTTTACTCTGCATCAAGCTAACATAACACTAGCTAGGACAGGAACTAAATGTATACTTTCCAAATGATGAAATAGAAATGGCTAAAAAAAATATCAAGAAATAAATGTTCAACATCTTTAGTCACCAAAGAAATACAAATCAAAACTACGTTTTTTTAAATGCCACTGACATCTTTGGTAACCATACTATTTGGGCCCTGACTTTATATACATTTCTTTTCCTGGTCAAACTTTTCATATATTTACTTCTGTATTGTATTCCTTGTTCTCCCAGTAAATCTGGCTAGAAGCAGCCAGCAGTAACCATGCCAACAAGCATAACCTTTCCCCTTTAAACTCAGCCTCCAACACTCTCGGGGCATGAAAAAATGCAGGCATGTTTGTTGCCAGCATGTAACATGAATGGCCTCTGATTCCCCATAAAGTTTTCATTTTTATCTGAAACATCATTAGCCAGGATTTTATGTCCAAAATGATGCCATCATCCTTTGCTAAGACTGCAATCATCCATCAGTCTCCACTTACAGCAACCTAAGCGCTAGCTTCCTTTCCCAGGTTTTTCTTTCTTCACAAACAAGTTTCACGAGTTTCTGAGTCTCACAGTCATGTATAGTCACAGTAATAACCTGGCTTATTTATGCCAATTTTGTGTGCTATTCATAGTAACGTTTCATGAGCATGAGAAAATCCTACAGGTAAACAACCTGGGAGAGAAAAGATTTGTTTGGGCTCATAATGTCTGGAGTTCCCATTTTGCTCAATCACTTTGGGTGTGTGACAAGTCTGAATGAAACATCCAGGCAGGGAGCATGTGGCTTACCCAGTGGCAGGTGTGAAGGCGATGAGGGGAGAGATAAGGAGGAAAGGAATTTGAATGATCTGGTAGAAGAAGATACACCCTTCACAGGCAGGGCTCCAGCTATCATTTCAAATACAGCTTCTGGAGCCTATATGGGGCAACAATTCATTTATCTGAAAGCAGGGGGGGGGGGGGTGTTACGGGTACGTCTGTTTGACACTCCTTTCCCCCAAGTCTGTAGCTGGAATCATATTTTATTTTGGAGTCTTGGGCACCCTTGCATGCTATATGGAGTAACATCTGCCATGGACTGGTGGCCAGAGTGCTTCCGGTGCACCTCTCAATCCTTTCATACTCATTTGTCTTGGACATGAAGCCTTTTCAGAGACTTCACATTCATTGGTTAAGAATGTGGCTAACCATGTTTTACTGATATTCGTAGGAGACCTGCCCTTTCCTGGTTGGAGACAAAAGAGGAGGGGATTGTGGGGTGGGATGAGGGGTAGTGGGGGAGAGGGACTGGGAGGGGAGGAAGAGGAAAGAGGCTACAACTAGTATGTAAAATAAATAGACAAATAAAAAATAAAAGAATGAAACATAAACAAATGTACCATGAATGGGGAAAAAAAGGAATGTGACTAACTTGGGGACTCTGTAGATAAAGTGTCTGCTATGCAAGCATATGGACCAGAGTTCAACTGTCTGCACACAATGTCTGGCAGGCATAGTGGACTGCCTGTAATCCCAGGGTGTGCGAGGCAGAGCCAAGGGAACAGCAGATCAAATTGGCCAATTAGATAAACCAAATTGGCAAGCTCGGATTTCAAGTGAGAAAGACTGACTTGTAGATGTATCCAACAGTCTTATTAAATAAGAAACACAGAAACAATGTAAAAGAGAAAGCCGAGAGGTCAGAGCTCAGAGCTAAAATCTCACCCTTCCGCCTGCAGTGTCCCAGCTTCCCGAAAGAGAGCTATTTCCTGTGTGTAAATCATTTCTAAGTCATTCTGCCTTCTCATTGGTTGTAAACCCAAACACGTGACTGCCTCGTCACTGTCTGTATGTACAGCCCTCTAGGTCTTAAAGGCATATGTCTCCAATGCTGGCTGTATCCCTGAACACACAGAGATCTATGGGATTAAAGGCGTGAGTCACCACCGCCATGCTCTTTCTATGGCTCTAATAGCTCTGACCCCTGGGCAACTTTATTTATTAACATACAATCAAAATCACATTTCAGTACATTTAGAATACTACCACACTGACTCAATATGTAAGATGGACTGTTGGTCAAGGGGGACGTCTGCTGTCCACTTCCAGCCTCCACATGCACAGTCACACATGTGCACTGGACCTACCCACACTCACATGCACCCCTAGTATCATCAAGGATTCCAGATCAGGTTGTTTTATCTGCCAGTTAAAAGAATTAGAAGGTGGGAGAGCTGGGAGCGTAACAGGTAAAAATAGGGAAAATCTCAGGCCCAGAAAGTGGAGTCAATAGTTGAAAACTACTTTTATTGAAGGTGAAGAAGTACAGACCCAGCATGGCATTCACTGAGAAAGAACCCTGGAAACAGAAGGGAGCTCAGGAAGCTAAAGTGGGGTCTTGAAGGGCTGTGGGTGGGCTAGAATTAGGTTCTTCCTCTAATTTAGAATTGGGTAATTTAAACCAAAAAAAGGGGGGGGGGCTGAAAGGCTTACAAGTTTGGATAAACTTACCCTAGTCCTACCTTGCAACTTGTTGTAAAGCCTTCTAGGCCTTTGTTTCATATCAGGAGGGTGAGAAAGAAGCCAGATATTTGCCATCTTTATCATATTTCCATGACACCTTTCCCTATTTTTATGTCTATCAGCGATCTGTGTAATTCTTATTCACTCACTCCTACAACTGTGAACATAGACACACACACCACATCAATACACACTCACGGGTTATTTAATTATTTTATGTGTATGGGTGTTCTGCCTGCATGTCTGTCTGTGCATCACATGTGTGCAGTGCCCATAGAAGCCAGAAGAGGAAGTTGGATCCACTGAAGGTTGAGTTACAAGCAGTGGTGTGGGAGACCATTTTCAGGTTTCCTAGTGGCTTTACCCAACAGGTCTGCATAGAGAGGATGATTGGACCACAGGCCTGAGTGCAGGTGTCTGAGATGGTCTGTACTTGGCTATGCTGAGGGGAGGTCTTTTGCTCCACCCCTTGGCATTTCTATAAATACCCTAGGGCAGAGACAGTCAGGGCCTGATAGAATAGGTTCCAGGCCCTCTCGTGGCTATCCTGTATTTTCTATCTGTTTCTCCCACCTCTAAATCCTTCTATCTAATATTTCCTGCTACTCCTACTCAAGAGCACTCTGGGGAAATGTGGGGATGATGGGCAGCCCCCTCACACCGTTGTTGTTTCCATGTGGGTACTGAGAATTGGAACCTGGTCCATTGGCAGAGCAGACAGTAATCTAAAGTATTGAGACATCCCTCCAGCTCCATTTGATGTAGCAATCAGCTCCAAGACAGATATGCCTGCATATGTCAGGGAGAAGACTGGGTCTAGCTCAACACTCTTGTTTCTATGACATAGGGACACGAAGTGACCACCAAATATTCATGGGAAATGGACACAGAGAAGACAACTTCATCTGTTGAATTTTGTAAGCATTCTGCAAGGGACTAGAGACATAAAAGAGTCATAGCCAGACTGTGTCTTGCAGAAACTTATGACTTGATAATGGAAACATGTATGGAAACCAATAATGTTCTTGGAGCGAGAAAAATATAATTGTTTTCCTGGACATAATAAAGCTTGTCCAGGAGACTGAGTATTTCTATTGTTTTATGAGGTTGGTGAGGAAGGATTTTACCAGATGGGTTTTTAAAGAATGGATTTTGAAGGATGAATAAAAGCCTTCTGTGAGACAGAGGATATTGTGGGTGGAGGGAAATTAAAAAAATACCTGTAGATGTAGCTCATTTGACTGAATTTCAAGGACTGAGAAATAAAAACAGCCCTGGGCAAAAGGACAGACTACAGGAAGTTAAAGTCAATAACTTCACCTGAGTCTCTGATAAGGAGCAATAACCTTTAGATCCAGTGATAACACAGGTTGTATTTAAATTGATCTTTCTATCAGACAAGTTCAAAGATCCAAGTGGACACATGTTTGCCAACTGCTGAGGTGGAGAATGCACCTGACTCATGGAACTGTGGGTGGGGCACAGTGGTGTTTCCATTGGCTGCAAGTCCAGCCCAACCCCTTTCCCAGTACTTAAGCACTGCAGGCTGGCCTCCTCGAGTCACAGCTGGGTGAGGAAGGGAGCTCATCAGGCTCAGACCTGCAAGGTGCAGCACACAGCTGAGAATAAAGCACAAAAGAGAGACTTGATTAAAGAAAGCGGCAATGGACCTGATCCCAAACTTTTCCACGGAAACCTGGATACTCCTGGTTACCAGCATGGTGCTCCTCTACCTGTGAGTAAACTGCCCAGGCTCCTCTGCTCAATGATCAAGACTTGGGGATGTGAACTGGATAATTCTTTCCTCTACCTGTTTGAAAAATCTAAAGAGAAAATGAAGAGGATGTTGCTTCGGTGTGCGGGATGCTAAGATCTACTGTGTTGCTATTGGTCTTATGCAAATCCCTCCAATGGGATACATAGGCATTCCTCTTCTACTAAACTCTACTTTCTGTGGATAGGAGGATAGAGTGACCTCAGTTTGACTTGGGGTATCCTCTGATTGAGTATCGTGTTTTCCCCAGATTAGCCAACCAGAGCTCAGCAGAAGCAGATTACAAATAGCTGGTCACTGTGATGGGAGGAGCTTCTGCAAGGTCTCGGGATTGTGGGGATGGGAGGAGCTTCTGTGTCATCTTCACCTGTGTCCTCTGGCGCAGGAGATGTATAGTGTTGCCCTGTGTGCACATGGCTAGTTTCTGCTCCCTTGTCCCACCTCTAAGACCATTTATGCAATGCCCCTAGTATACACCAGGCTCTGTGGTAGGCTCAGACTGCCTCTTTTTTTTTGTTACTCATCCTTAAGTATCCCAAACTCGGTTCTTCTTTATAATGTGAAGAATTATTTGCTTCTAAGTGGTGAATCTTTAGGGCAAAGGAGACCTGACTTTGATTCTTTCCCTTCCTCGTTTCCCTTCAAGTTCATAGCATCTGTATAAGGAGTTACTCCTCCCCAGCTATGAGATCTACTGGCATCCTCAAAAGGCAGACACTCTGAAACAATTTTGATTTTAAATATTTTCCCTCTAAGTTCCACTGGGAGTATCAGTCAAAACATCTATCTCTGTACTTCCTTTCCAATTGGGATGCCTTCATAATGGTACAAGTGAAGAAAGAAGTTATCCTGAGTCCCAGGATAACAAACATGTGACCTAGACCACTGTAGACAGCTCATTCTATTGCGTGTGTGTGTGTGTGTGTGTGTGTGTGTGTGTGTGTGTGTGTGTGTGTGTAGACACACCTATGAGTCCATGGTGATCCATGCTCCCTCCTCACCAAACACATCACACTTGATTTCTATCACCAATTAATATTAATGAAGGATAAACACTCATGGTAATATGGAAACAAACATTTCGAACATGGTTTTATTCTTGAAGAAAAATATTTAAGATATTGTGGCAGCATCTTTCCTATTTGATCATGTTTTACAATTATTTGAAAGATTTAATTTCATTCTATTTGATCCTAAAGCTTCAGTGAGATATGCCAGCAGCCTTCTTTCAGAAGGCTAAAATGGGGCTGTTGCTCTCAGTATTTGTGACAATAAGTTGTGTGAAATGACTTCATCTGTTTCTAAGTGTCAGGAATGTAAGCCTAAGGCATAAGCAAATACATGGGACAGACTGTACGTATGGTTTGAAATAAACTTAGCGAGCAGGTTTTTTCAGTTCAACAGTATTTGCTGTGCTTGTCCATCAGGTCATGTGAGTTTTTCAGTATAGGTGGATAAGGAAGAGAATGGGACAGTGATGACATGAACTCTTTTCAGATATGAGTTAGGATAGTAGTTTTCAAACTGTGGATCGTGACCCCTTTAGGGGATCAAGCAACCCTTTCCTAAGGGGTCACATATCAGATACCCTACATATCAGGTATTTATATTAAGAGTCGTAACAGTATCAAAATTGCAGTTACAATGTAGTAAATAGTTTTATGGTTGGGGGTCACCACAGCATGAAGAACTATATTAAAGGGTCACAACATTAGGAAGGTTGAAAACCACTGAGTTAGGAGAAAGTAAGAAAATACTCCTCTCCTCTCAAGGACAAAGTCTCAGATACACTTTTGGGTTGCAGCCCCCCACTGAAGATCAGAAGGGCAGACCCATTGGTGTTACAGTTTCCTAAATGACACGAGCAAATGAAACTATGCAGAAGTATTCTTCCCTGAATCTCACATTAACAGTGATGTTTGGGGACATTTGTAAATAATTCACTGTAGGACTTAGAGCCAAAACAATTCATCTATTTTTTGAGTTAACCTTTGTGGGCCTGGGGAGTCTCTTGGATAAATGTGGAGGTAAAAATGAAGATCAAAAATAATTGCTGCTGTTGAATTTTTTGTTGTTATTTGTTGCTTCCATGTTATCCCCCACTCCAGCTTGAATGTTACAGTTCCTGTGTGTGTAACTGGTAAGCCTGCACAATATACAGTGACAATCCCTAAGAACTTGATCTCCCACCTTACAGATACGGAACCTATACACATGGAACTTTTAAGAATTTGGGGATTTCTGGACCCAAACCACTGCCTTTCGTGGGAAATATTCTTGCATACCGAAATGTAAGTGTTGACTGAGTGCTCTACTTGGATTGTTGTGGTTGCCAAAACTAGCTTAGTTCCTTTCATTAGAAAGGCCAGATCTTGGGTGAAAGTTCTCAGGTTTTATTATTATTGTCTTTGGAGGACCTGGTTTGGTGCAGCTGATCAGCTCAGACCTCATGTTGGGGACTTGTTCAGATTTGTGAGCCTCAAAAAAAATTTGCTTTTTTTCCAGTACATATTCTAGCAAGGGACAATAATGCCTCTGGAACCCCTTTTTAAGTTCATACATATTTGTTTGTTTGTTTGTTTGTTCGTTCGTTCGTTCGTTCGTTCGTTCGTTCATTCATTCATTCATTTAGAGTGTGTGAGTGTGAGTGTGTGTGTGTGTGTGTGTGTGTGTGTGTGTGTGTGTGTACATGAAGGTCAGATAATCACTATGAGAGTTGATTCTCCTCTTGCACCTTGTGGGTGCTGAGATCAAACTCAAGTCAACAAGCGTGGGTGGCAGGTGCCTTCACCTGCTGAGCCATCTCACTGGCCACTTTTGTTTCCACAGCTGAAAACATCACAACTGAAACTCACAACTGAAACTCGGCAGAAGTTTTGCTTCATTTTGTTTTTCAGTTTTGAAAGTGTTCTAGTTTCCTTTCTGTGGCTGGGATTAACCATTCTGAACAAAGGAGGTGGCAAGATGGTTCAGAACATTTGCTCTTACAGAGAACCTGAGTTTGGTTCCCAGCACCCACATGGCACCTAACTCCAGTTCCAGGGGATCTGATACTTTCTTGCCTGCTGGGACACACAGGGCACATATATACATTCAGGCAAAGCACCCACACACATAAGATACAAATAAATCTTTAAAACAAAATGTTGTAAACACTGCAAATTAGAGAAGGAAAGGTTTTCTTTCATCTTACTGCTTGTGATTCATCATTGACAGATATCAGACCAGGAACCTGAGTAGAAACCGGAGGAACGCTGCTTCCTTAATCTCTTAGGCTCTTGTTAGGTATCTTTCTTATATGGCCCAGAACTACCTGCCCAGGGAATGGAAACAGTGAGCAGGGTCTCTTACATCAATTAACCATCAAGATAAGCCCCCACAGACATTGGCTCCACAGGCCAATCTGATCTTGGAAATCTCTCAGTGGAGACTCCCTTCTCATATTATTGGCTCTGTCAAGCTGATAATTAAAACAAACTAGGACAGGAAGTAAAAAGTCAGAGAAAATTATTAAATTGCAGTGTTACCTGTAGTTATGACATCTCTCTGCCTTTCTGTGTTCAGTAGGGACCCTGAGAAACAAGGTCTCTGTCATTCCTCCCTTGCTTGTTTTCTCAATCAACAACATGCCTGAGACTCACCCACTCTCTAGATTGAAAGAGGCCCGGAGTTTGTTCCAGTTCCTAATTCCTCTGGTGTTCTAGGGAGAGCTTAGGAGGTAAACAAAAAGGACTCTAAATATGGAGATAAACAATGATGCCTGTTCCTGGGAATCTCCCTCGATTTCTCTTAGCTTCTGTTTCCTCTTACACATGAAAAAGGAATGACTTAGAGTCCTTACGCACTTAGGGATGACATGTGGGGAAGCAAACACACTTTAAAGAGACATGGCATTCACTATTATTCACAGACAAGAGTAAGCAGCCATGCACATACAATGTGGGGGGGAAAGTCTGAACAATTTCAAGTTCTCCCATTTCAAATATCTCCTATATTCTCTCTCCCTCTCACTCATACACCTAGGAACAAGAGCATTCCTCTTACTGCCAGTGATGGATAGTTAACCTGACTTAGTAAGATTCAAATCATTTAGATATAGATAATCCCAATTAGAGATAAGGGCAGTCTACTTAAAATAGTAGTCAGAAGCAGCAAGATGGCTCACCTGGTAAATGTGTCTGCCATCAATCCTGACCACCTGAGTTTGGGCCTTAGAACCCACATGGTGGAAGGAGAGAACTGACTACCAGAAGTGGTCCTCTGTTCTACACACACACACACACACACACACACAATTAAATGTAAAAATAATAATAATGCATTTTCATTTTCTTTCTCTTCCCAGGGATTTTGGGAGTTTGACAGAGAATGCCATAAAAAATACGGGAAAATATGGGGGTAAGTGTTCTGGAAACTTCCATTCCTTTACTTGAAATCATCACATACCTCAGTGCCTGGAAGACAGACATAGCCCATAGCCTCTTGAGTTGAAGTTATGATTGTATGTATTTTAGAGGCTTTTAATACACAGGTCCCATATGTCTTCAGGTACCATGGTTCACAGACTGAATTAGTCTGATAAAAATTGCATTTTTTACTTTTCTCTCAGACTTAAAGGTCCAGGGATGGCTCACTTGATTTTCTGCCCAGTGTCTGGCTATTCAATTCGATATCGTGTATACACCATGCAGACTTAACAAATTTTCCCATTTATTTTTAATTGTCATCTCTTTGTAGAACTATTTTGTGTATAATGAGCTACATTATACTTCATTTCATGAGACTCATGTGATATGTGGTCAGAATTCCTGACTTGAACTAGGAGCTCATATAGTTGCATATTGCACAATTTGGATTATGGATCTTGTAATATCTGTATCAGCATCTGGGTTCTGGGCATGCCAGGAACAGAATATTTGAATCCTTTCAACTATTAATTGAATCCTTTCTGCTTTGCCAATGCAGGTTTTATGAGGGCCGACAGCCTGTGTTGGCTATCATGGATCCAGACATAATCAAAACAGTGCTGGTGAAGGAATGTTATTCTACTTTCACAAACCGTCGGGTAGGCATCAATTTTTTAAATTATTTAAGCATCTATTCATGTATCCACACATTTGTTAAGTTTTTGGGTATCTCTCTCTCTGTCTCTGTCTCTGTCTCTGTCTCTGTCTCTGTCTCTCTGTCTCTCTCTCTCTCTCTGTGTGTGTGTGTGTGTGTGTGTGTGTGTGTGTGTGTGTGTGTGCGTGCGCGTGTAGAAGGGGGCATGTGAGGGGTGTGTATAGTATTGTGTAGTAGGTGTGCAGTATATGCACTCATGTGTGTTGATGTCCCTGCCCAAAACACACAAGGAAGCCAGAGAAGGCTATGAGATGACCTGCTCTGTCACTCTCTCATCCCCTACTGGGCTTGGAGGTGATCTGGCAGCCCAAAGCCCCTGACATTCTCCTGTCTCTGTCCCTCACACAGCTGAAGTTACAGGCATGTGTGGCAATGCTCAGCTTTTGAAGTTGGTGCTTGGGATTTGAACTCACCAAGCAAGTGCTCTTCCCCACTGAGTCATCTCCCCAGCACCGTGTTTATGCATTAGGTTCTTTACTGTGAAGTGATTCTAACTTCATAGGGAACTGAGTAAAAATGTACATGAAGGTTCCATCTATGTTTCCTCCATTTGCTTCAATGGTAATACCTGTAGTAACTGTAAACTTAGTATGTTTCTGTGACAGGAAATTGATAGAATCCATACATATTATTCAATTATCATCTATGTGCCTTTAGTGTGTGTGTGAGTGTGTGTGTGTGTGTATGTGTGTAATGTCATACAAAATTAACACATGTGTGCCTATCTATAACAGCCAACAGTCAAGACAGAACTGTTCCTTCAATGTTGATAAGGCTCCCACTTACTAAGCTGATAAAGTGGCCGTGTGCAGCTTGTCTTTTCTTCTTAATGGGAATCTATGCTTATTTTCTTCATTATTAGCATAAATTTATTATGCAAAATAATAAGTTTTCTTATGACATTTCTTACTGTATATAATGTACTTTATAAACATCTTTCTGGGGCTGGAGAGATGGCTCAGCAGTTAAGAGCACTGACTGCTCTTCCAGAGGTCCTGAGTTCAATTCCCAACACCCACATGGCAGCTAACAACTGTCTGTAACTCCAAGATCTGACACCCTCACACAGACATACATACAGGCAAAACACTATTGTATATAAAAAAATAAATAAATAAATTTAAAAAAACATATTTCCATTACCATCTTATATCTCCCTCTCCCTCTGGTCTTCTTCCCAAATATATTCTATTCCATGGCATTTAAACAGTCTAATACAGATATTGCATATGAGAAGAAGCATGTGATACTTGTATTTCTAAATCTGGCTTGTTTCTCTTAACATGATGATCTCCAGTTCCGTCTAATTTCCTTCAAATAACATAATTTTGTTCTTCTTTATGACTTAAACAAACTCCATTTGTGTGTGTGTGTGTGTGTGTGTGTGTGTGTGTATGTGTGTGTGTCACATTTTCTTTATCCATTCACCTATTGATGGGCACCTGTGATAACTAATCTTGATTGTCAACTTGACATATGCCAGAAAAGGGAACTTCAGTTGAAGAACTTTCTCTGTCTGATAGGCCTATGAGCATGTCTGTGAGGCATTTTCCTGATTGTTAACTGATTTAGGAGGGTGAAGCCCACTATGAGTGGTACCATCCCTAGGCTGAATAACCTTGACTGTATAAGAGAGGTAGTTGAACATGAGCCTTGGAGCAATTCAGTGAGCAGCATGCCTCTTTTGGTTTCTGCTTCAAGCTCTTGACTTAAGTTCCTAACTTGGCTTCCCTCAGTGATGGATTACAACCTGTAGACTAAAATAAACCTTTTCCTCTACAAGTTGTTTCTGGTCATGGCATTTGTCACAACAACAGAAAGCAAACTAGAACAGTACCTAAGCTGATTCTACACCATGGCTGTTATGAATAGAAAAACCAAAAACCATGAGTACACTGGTATCTCTGTGGTACACTGAATTCAATTTCTTTACTTTTATACCCAACAGTAGTGTAATGAATTGTGTGGTAGTTAAATGTTTAGGCTTATGACATTTCTCTACACTGGTTTCTATGGTGGCTGCACAGATTAGCATTCCAACCAGTAAGATACAATGGTTTATTTTCAGTGTATCTTCACTAATGTTTGTTTAATGGGAATCTTTCTGTAAGAGGGGCAAAATCTTATTTGAAGGATGCAAATACATCTACTTTTCCTTTTGTGGATTATGCTTTTGTAACATGTCTGAAAATTCATCCCATAAACCTCCTTGTTAGTTGCTTGTTTTTCTTTACTAAACTTTACAGTTTTAAGTTTGAATCTAAGTTTGTGATCTATCTTGTGTTATGTTTCTAGTTTTTCTGACATAATTGAATCACTTTTGCACCTGTGGGGAAAAAGCACCTGGGGTCTTGGAAGATGGATCAATGTATAAAAGCACTTAGAACACAGCATGTGTTCTGCTCCTCATAACCCATGTAAAAGATGGACACAGTAGCACACACACCTGTACTCCCAGTACACACCTATGAGGACATGGAAGTAGAGACAGAACTTGTGAAAACTTGCATACCAGCTGCCCTGGCCTAAGCACTAGGAAACAGCAGACCCTGTCTCAAACAAGGTGGAAAGGTGAAGATCAACATCCAAAGATTCTCCTCTGGTCTCTACACACTTCATGGTACACACACACACATGTACTCATTCATAAGAAAGTACACACACTCACATAAACACACACAAATCAGTAGGGAAAGCATTCTGGTGTGGAAAAACATTCTGGTGTGGAATCATGTTATATCAGTTTAGACTACAAAGACTACAAATTTACAAAGAGTAAATTCATTAGTCCAATGATTTAATGATTGTATTGAGGACCAAGAAAGAATGAAAATCATTTGGGGCTGTGTCTGTGGATGGACTACTCATTCACTGTTATGTACCACAGTCCTGTGTCTGTCCCTCCCAGAACATCACACACTCTTGATTATTGTAACTGCACTATGACTCCACATGAGGTACAACAATTGGTTCCTCTTTTTTTTTCAGAATTCTTTATACCTACCCTTCTTTCATTGTCTTTTCATGCAAATTCAGAATAAGTTTTATTGATGTCTACACATGAAAATTCCACTTACTTACACTATCAGAATTGGATTAAATCTTTTGATAAATATGGAGAAAATCACTGTTTTTAGCACTTTGAGTTGTACGTGTATTGCCTACATGCATGTGTCCATGTGTGCACATGCAGACATAAGTATAGGACATTGGGTGTCCAGTTTTATCATCCTGCCTTATTCTCTTGAGATAGGGTCTCCCACTGAACCAGAAGCTCATTGCTTCATCTTGGCTTGATTACCACTGAACTCTTTCGATCCACCTATCTCTGTTCTCAGCACTGTATTTATTGCACCTGTAGCCATGCCCAACTTTTTCTAGTGTGAGTGCTGGGGATTCAAACTTGGGTCCTCATGCTTGAGTGTCAGTGACCAACATCAGAGGAGCAGCAGGTGGCAATTGAAGTTCAAGGTGTCAGCCCACCAGGAGGCAACTGCCCGATGGGTGAAACTTGGATAGACAAGGCCCAAAGGCCACAGACTCCAGAATGTCTTTTGTTTCTGCTGTGCCTTTACATGATTTCCACTGCCATCTTTCTCTGGTATCTGGTATGGTGTGAATGGGTGTGGGGAGATCCCCACTGCCTAAAATGTAATATGTTTATCTCATAGAAACATCCCATTCTACTGGGCAGTTTTACTTGTGGATTATTGTGAAGATGATTCCTTCCTAAGCTGTACTGTCTAATTGATGATAATAATAATAATGTTAGTTTCAATAAATAAAAATATATACAAGGAAATGTTACACATCTAGGGCCTATGAGTTTCACCTAAAGAGCTGCATAAATTGCAGCTCAAGTTAATGATTAAGATAAGCAATTGAGTCCTAGGAGCCAGATTGGCTTGAATTCCTTTAGTCTTAATGCTGAAAGACACGGATTTCAGTGTGCATCATTTCCTAAAACAAAGCCTTATAATAACTTCAGGTTGGATTAGATGTTTTAATAGTAGCTTTAAGGTGAAAAACCCAAGAATACAATCTAAAATTTTATAAAGGGTGAGGTACTCTGTAAAGTCAGAGAACAAATACAAAGCAGCCCAATTATTACTAGCTCACTCACTTTTCTTGCTAGAATTGGTTGATAACCAAAGATGATGATTAATTCCTTCTACCCATTTTCCCTCAATCTCTTGATATAAA